AAGTAGTAATTTAATGATATAATATAAAATTAAAATATAAAAATATTTACAAATTTAAGTAATATAAATGCTTAAAGATTATTATTAAAATATATATACTTTAAGCTTTTTAATTATTTTTAATTTATTTTTATTATTTATAAAATATATTTATTTTCTTAAAATATAATAAATATAAAATTATTAGCAAATCTAAGTTAATATAACAAAAATACTAATTTTAAACAAAATAATTATCAAATTTATTATTTTAATAATTAAAAATATTATATAGATTTCAATTATAAAAATAAATTTTATAATTTTATAAATACATAAACTTTACTTTAAATAATATAATTTATAATTTAACTATAATAAAATTATTATAAATAATAAAATAAAAATAAATAATATATATAATAAATATAACATAAATAAAAATATTATTTTGTTAAAAAAGTTAAAATATTAACAATATTAATTTTATAAATCTTTAAAACACAGTAAAATTAATATAGTTAAATATTAATATATATAATATATTTAATAATTATTCAAGATATAGTTAGCATATTATTTTTAATAATAATAAAAGTAATAAAAATAATTTTATTATATGAGAAGTATACTAGAAAAATAGGGTTCTAAAAATTTTTTTGACTAAAATTAAGATTTTATTACATTGTAATCTAATAATATCAAAAACTAAAATGCAATAAAAAATAAAATTTTGTTAAAAAATTCCAGAATCCCATTTTTCTAATAAATTTTATATATATATTAATAATATTTTATTAGAAAATTAGAGAAACAGAAATTGTTGTTAAATCTAAAATAATTTTTTTGCTAAGATCAATAAATGAGTAAGTTACATATAACTATTTATAATATGCAACTAATTAATTTACATTGACTTAACAATTAAGTAAATTATTTTATCACTTGGCATAATATTTATTGTTTTTGCTTCACTCAAAATTGATAAAAATTTTTTAATTTTATTAATTTTATTATATATATTAATAAAGTAATTTTAATATTATAATTTTTTAATATAATATTTGTTTATTTTAAATAAATACTAAAAGTTCTTTTTTTATTTATTAAAAAAATAATCATTTTTAAATAATTATAATAATAAATTAGAAATTTTTATATTAAAATTCAATAATAAATCAAGATATTTAAAAAATTAAATTTAATATTTTTTAATAAATATACTATAAACAGATTGATATATGTGATGCAGATGATTTACAAATCTAACATATCTAACATAACTGATATTTTTAGCATAGTTGATATAATTATAATAGATATATATGATATATTAATTATATTAAATATATTAGACATAGCAAATATGTTAGTTATACTTTTTTATATAATAAATTAAATATAAATATAAAGTGATAAAATCATGTAATAAGTAGTTCAATTCAATTAAATCATTTAGTAGTTTATTTTTAATCTATCCTTAGTAGAAGTAATTGGCTCATCTAATATATTTAATTAATTAGTTTATCTATAATTTTACTTTTGTTTCTTTATTTATTTTATTTTTTTTTATTTTTTATTTCTTAATAAATGCATTATTATTAAATTAAATCAAATTGAAATTATCTGACTTTTGAGTATTATTATATATAATATAGTCGCCGCTGGTTATAATAAACCTTCTGTTTCAGGAGGTTTAGTTCGATATATAGTGAATTTGATATATAATATTTATGTTATATACTGAACTGTTCAGTATATAAATTTTATCTAATAAAATTATATCACATAGTTGCTACATTATAATGTAACACTTTATTTAAAATTTATGTAATAATATTAATCATTAAATATTTACTGACTATATAATATTATTACATTAAAAGTGATAAAGATTAACTTGTTTAAAATTTTTTACAATTAATAACCTTACTTTTTTATACAATTTTTTTAAAACTTTCAACTCTTCATTTACTTCACTAAATTCTGATTCCTGTTCATGTAAAAATCTTATAGTTTTATCTATAGCCTTTTTTACTTCCGTTAGACCTACTCTTTTCAATATAAGTATAAATTCAGTTTCATCTACCACATATTCCTCTTCCTTATTTGCATTTTGTATAGTATCAATTATTTCATGATTAGTAAATCCACCTTCTGGCATTTCATTCTTAATATTAATATATTCATATACGCTAAGATCACATTTTAGAAGTTGAAAAATCAATATATCAAGTTCATTGATTTTCATGTCAAAACTAAAAAAAGGAAAGTATTGGAATTTTAAAAGTTAAAACATATTTTAAAAAATTTATATATATTAAAAATTTATATATCTATCAGAAAATACCAAATTATTATCATCAAAAAATTCTTCAATTCTATTATTTAGTTGAAGAATATAGTCAACTCTTGTTATAACGAATTTTATGTTCTAGACCTCAACTTTGCTATAAGGCTATAGTGAAGATTTTAAGAGATTTGATTGGCCAATTCGCTATAACAAGAGTATTTTTATTATATTTGTTCAAAAAATTCGTTATATTAAGAGTTCGCTATAATAAGAGTTGACTGTACCTATTTTCTTCTAACAGTTTAAGATAGTTTGAGAAAATATCATTGATTATGCTTTAGCTGCATTTTAAAGAACATCATAAATAGTATAATCTGCAAGTTCTTTCACAATATCATCCTGCATATCATCATATGCATTAATTTGATTTTGAATAAAAAGACATTTGTAGTGATATTTGAATGAATAAATTATCCTTGTATTACAAGGTTGAAGTTTAATAGTAGTGTTTGGTGAAAGAAATTTTATATTTATACTATTCAACTTTTGTTGAGTTTAATCTAAAATAAGATATACTGATATATTGTTAATTAAAAAAACAATTTTTCTATTTTTTCTTCTCATTATTTCATTGAGTTTAAGAAGGATTTCATTAAAAATGCTAACTTGCATCCATGCTTTCTTATTCCAAAAATAATAAATTGAAAGGTTTTTATAATTAATATTTTTCATAATGCGAGATGTTTTGTATTTATAAATAAATGTTAATGTCATTTTTTACTATCAGTTGCATTTGTTACATAAAATATTGTAACCTAAGATTTTTCTTTTTTATGACCTAATAGAGAATTACGTGCCAAAACTTTAGAAGATTTCATCTTTTAAAATAGATCAGTCTTATCAACATTTCAAATATCTTTAGGATTATAGAATATAAGCAATTGTTAAAGAGCAAGATGATCTCTTTTTATTGATTCAATAGAAGGAGCACTTTCAGCTTCACCTTACTTTTTAAACTGACGTAAACCTTGCCATTTTTTAAAACCACCTAACTAACCTTTTAAATGATAAAAGTCTTCTATAGAAAACTATTTAGCAAAATAATTTGCTTTTATTTTTAAGATATTACTATCAATATCTTGCTTTGTATTAAGCGCATTATCAACTTAAAAGTTGAGTGCATCTTCAAGTTAAAGCCATTTTGGTCTGCAGAATTTTTAATATTTTCTTAGTTTCATGTAATTGCAAGCCAACATTCACTTTCTTTCAAAATGTCAGTAATTGTTGACTTACCAACATTATATTTTTGTGCAAGTTCAATATTTTGAATATGTGGGTCTTTTTCTTTTATTTCACAAATTTTATGCTTTTGTTCAGCAGAAAGGTTAACTTTCTTTCTTTTTAATATTATTAGTATTTTTTAAAAAATTTATCCAATACTAACGAAGAAGCGGAGACAATTTTTCTGGTAATGCATGTAATGTGATGCGATCATCTTTATATTAGTACTAATCAAAAACCACGTGATAGTTTGGTATACTAAATATGTAACTGATATACTCAGGCTGGCTAAAATCAATTAAGATGCGGTATATAGTAATTTATTATGTAATTTCATTATATCCGATGCAATTAATTATAAAAAAATTGGTTCTGTGAAACTTGGTTCAGTAAAAGGAGTTTTCAGTATAAATAGATTTGTTATAACCAGTGACTGTAAACTATAAAATTGTAAATCATATTAAATTACTATATAAATTATAAAAGTTATATACTTTGTATATTGTTATAGTTTGTTAAATTACACATTAACAATATAAATCTTATTATTTTTCTATTATCTATTTAATTAATTAAATAAAAATATTAATATAAATAAATTAAATTATAATAATTTATAATAATATTAAATATTATTTTTATTATTAAAATTTTATATTTATAATAATTAAAAAGAGTTATTATAATATATTAAAAAAGATAAAGAATTTGTTTGATTAATATCTATATCTACTATTTTTCAGTAATTAAAATTATCGTATTCTTCTAAAAATAAGCAACCTATTTTAATTATAAGGTTGCTTATTTTTGGGTACTTTCAGATATTTTATAATATTTAATATATATTGCTTATAAAATTTATTTTTTGAAAAATTCTAAATTCGATTCTGTAACTGTTGGTCACCTGTTTATCGTCTGGCATCTCCTCTTCAGAATCAATGTCACGATTAGAATCATTATCATCATCTGCCCTATCTGGTTAAGCAACCACTTCATTCGTTTCTTTCACTGACTGAGTTGATCAAATTCATCATTTAAATACACGTTATCGTAGTCTTTGGTTGAAATTAGAGAGATATACTCTTGAAAAATATCATGTCATGCAAAAAACATTAACAATGTTCATGATCGAGAAGAAATTACACAGAGTTTGAACCGTGTTGAAGTCGAGATGGAACGTGGAAAATAAAAAATCAACTTATTATCTGCACTAGGATTTTGTATTGGTCGAGATAAAAAAAAAATACTTTATGATGCTGTATATTTATAATTCGTATAATAAAATAAAATTTACGTGATGAAATTTCGGTGAATATAAGCAATATCTCACCCATTTAGTTGCGAATTAAAGCGAAACTTTATTATGATATAAAAATAATTTGTAGCTAGAGAGTAAGAAAAATACATATAATTAAAGAGATAAATATTTGTTTACGGACTATATAAGTTAGAAAGCAACCTCCTTTCCTTTACAATGGAGTGGACATTCTAAACATACTCTTCTTATAGGCGAAGGAGATGGTGAAGAATAAGATTGAGGCGGTGATGTTGGTTGAGGCGGTGATGTTGGTGGAGGCGTTTGTGAAACCTATAAATACGATTAGCGCTTATGTTGAATAAGTATGTGCAAATTTAGGATAAAACACTTACAGAATTGTTTCTACGACGCCTTTTGGGCGAAGGACCATAATTATAATTAATTCTTTTTTTTGTACGGAGATTAAAATCTCTACTTGGAGATGGGGATGATCTCCTTCTCCTCCTTTCATTAACGTCAGGTGAAGGGGATGCACTTCTCCACCTCCTTTCATTAGCGTTGGATTCATTACGATCATCGTAGCTATTATCATTTATAAAGTCTTCACTTTCTTTGTCATTGCTATCTTCTCCACCTTCGTAAAAATTTAAATCGTCTTCCTTGTCGAAATCTCTTGATTTCGGAGCTTCACCCTCGTCAGAACCGTAAAAATTTAAATCATTATCTTCTTTGCCTTCTTTGTCGAAATATCCTGATCCCGAAGCTTCACCTTCGTCAAAACTTAAATTAAAATCTATCGATTTTAACAAATCGGGAGGTAGAACCAATTTAAACTTGTCATTGGGCGAACTCTCCTCCACATTGCATCTATTCGTGAGTTCTGCGATCCTGGTATTTTTTATTTTTATCTCTTTGTCTAGTTCAGAAATTATTTGGAGGTGATGCTCCTTTTCTTCTTGAAGTGTAGAAATCTCTCGCCTCTGAAACAATATGTTGTTAATGAAATGTAAAATTATATAAACAGAATTGCATTACATTAATTTACTTACTAAGTTACATTCTTGGATCACCTCCTCCCAATAACTTTTTAAATCATCGACACGTCGGAAGCGTTCTAACTTGACCTATTATAAGTAGAGTATTGTTAGCTGTGTGCGATGAATTTTTTATTTAGTGATAAAGGAAGACATAGTTTGTTCTTTCTCCAGCACAAGCAGACCTTTACCAACAACAAAGATAGGGTGCCTGAATAGAGGACTTGGAGTGGTTACCAAGTGGTCAAATTCAGTAATTCTCCTGAGTCAAGGCGTAAGCAGTTCAACTAGGAGTTACCCTCTCTTTGCAAAATAAAAAAACGCACCTTTTCACGTAAATTCAATTTCAACATTCCTGCTTCTCTCAGAAAATTTTTTGCCCATGTGTTATCAAGAGCCTCCCAGCTTTTCGAGAATAACAGTGACGAAGTAACGACGGTGTCCCGATTTTGAAGTAAAAAATTACGATATGATTTATTATTTCGTTCTCGCAAGTATGAAGAAAGAACATTAAGTCCTTCATTAAAATTAACATCTTCGGAAGTAGAAGCAGTAGACATGGTGAAAAAGAAAATCTTATAACATAGTTTATGGAAAAAAGACGCGTTCATTTAACATATTTCAGTGTGACTCTGTTCACGACATTCAATACTATTTTTGATCCACGAGTTTTAACGAGTTTAACCGGAATAGGCAGATTGTCTCGACGTCTCGTGGTTTCTAGGGTTTGTGACTTTGTGCTACAATACGGTTTGTTTGTCATAGTAAAAGTACTTCATATTTTAATTCTACGCAAAATTTTCGTGAAGACTTCTCTGAGATCTCTTCATCTAGTAGCAATTCTTGAACCACATTATATCATCGCACAGATGTCCGATTTTGATGATCGCGTTTTGGGTTGATTGAAGTTGTGATCTTAATTTGAAATTTACTAGCACATAGAATATGCGAAAAAAACAATGAATTAATATAAGGTTATTGATTATAGGATATTGAAACTTTTGGATGCTTGGTTAACGAATTCCTTAATTTTTCGTATCCTTTCTGGAATAACAACTTCCGGGTTTTGATCATACCATACCTCAATAAGGAAAATTCCATTATCTAGACAAATACATCTTTTTTGCCGATCACGATTAACGATGTCCTCAAGTTTTTTGACATCCTTATACCAGCTAGTGTTATGAAGCCGATGTTGAGCCCCCTGTACTTCTAATGTAATTTGATATTTGTGGAAGAAGGCATCAAGCTCTAATCCATTCAAGAAAGAAGGACGATATTCAATCATAGGTTCCTCATTAAGAATTTCTTTAGCTATTTGGATGCATCTAGTCTGGAATTTGCGATTTTTCTTGCATTCCAGTCCCTTTTCATATTCTTCTATAATTGATTTATTTTTTGCATTCTGAGCCTTGATCTCAATAATTATAGCCTCAATACTCTCAAGACGATCTGGCTGTTCCAAACTAAGATGTTTTAATTTTACTATATAGGCCTCAAAATCAGCATAATCTTTTTTGATAGAATTTATAAACTCAGCCTTAAGCTTGACATACTCGGCATTTCTGAACTTAAGTTCAGCTCTCTCAGCCTCAAGTTCACTGATACGCTGTTTTAATGATTCAAGCTCAGATGACATGATCTATAAATTATAACTAATACACTGTACATAGCTATTCAAAATAAAAAATATATCACATGTTTTTGGGCAACGGGCTCGCTGAAATTTTTTTGTTAATACATGCGAAAAATAATTACAAAGATCAGGACGTAGCATGTGATACATATTATTTTGATAAATATTTTGATCCTAGCTCTCTAACTAGCACTACATCTATACCACAATCGGGAAACATATAGAGCGGGGTAGAGAGATTTATCTATCACTAAAAAATGTAAAATCTGTTCTAATACTTCTGCTATATTAAAACCACTTGTATGCGCCATAAATAATATATGCTGTATCTTTAAACAAAAAATAAAATTACGCGATCACTGCTCTGGGCTATCGGTTGGATTGGAAAAAACAGTCATAACTTGGATCTGATTATCAGATAATGTCGAAATGTAATTTACTTCTTCGAATGGGAGGGTCCGACCAGGACCGGGATCGCAAAATTATCGTCTAATAATAGTTTTGAATTGCATATATCCAAAGTTGCACCATTTTCTTGAAACCAAGGTCCTCCTAAAATTAAATCAGGAAAATAATCAGGCCAATCTGGTCCAGGAACTATGAATTCAACGGGTGTGCTTTTATTTTTATGTTTCTCGCCATCTTCAAAACTAATATGCAGATTGACCTTTCCTAATGTGGAATAGGATGTATCTGGAGTTACAATTCTATTGCTTTCACTATGATATGTAATTCCTAATTCATCAATATGTTTTTGGCTAATGTAATTTACATCAGTAGACGTATCAATTGATGCCTCAATAGTGATTTTTTCTTCGACTATACAATTCACGAATACCATTTTATTATGGCATATATAATATTCAAATATAAAATTAAAACCTCT